CCCATTCAGGGAAGACAGTCTGGCTGGAAAATATGGAGGCCTAGAAGGCGATGTACCTGGATTCAATGTTCCTGAGAAGCAGATATAAAGTTAGGGGAAGTTAACTTTTATTTCTGAGCAACTGGCAAGTGCGGTCTGGCTGCCTGGTTAGTGCCTGCCACAAGCACATTTTTTCTCTCCTCTGCAGCAATGGTTTTAAGTATGGTCCCCAGTCCCGCACCTACAAATCACCTGGGAGCCTGCTAGAAATGCAAATTCTCAGGTCACACACCAGACTACTGCGCTACACCACAGAACTACGGATCTGAAACTCTGAGGGTGGGGCCCAGCGGGCTGATACACTCTCCAGGTCATTTGGATGCACACTCGTTTGAGAGCCACTGATCTAAGGGAAGAAGCGGTGGCAATCATTCTTTATAGTCTGGATAATGTTGCAACAAACCACTGATGACAAAAATGCAAGACCCTGTGCTTTTTTTTCTTTTTGCTGCAAGGGACACCAAGGCCAAAGATCAGATTTCCTCTGACAGGGTAGAGACAAAGAATAAAATGTGGGAAGTGTGTCGGGACAGTAAGGGAAGGAGAGGACAGAGGAAATTTGGAACCTCTACTGCCCATACGGTTAAATTTCCGTAGGCTGCGTGTGAGGCCATGCCAATGTATGCAAATTTAAGTCCACACTCCATCAGTTGGAAAAGGGAAAGACCGGAAGCAGGAGGCTTTTGCAGTCCTCTAGGCAAGAGAAAGATGGTTCTGGCTGGGTAGGATGACAATGGAGTCTTGGCACCTGCTGTGTGGTCACACCTACTGGCTCTGTGATGGGAAGAACATAACGATGAGGAAGGAATCCTACTTGACGGTCATCACTACCTGCGCATGAAAGAAAGAATCAGCCAAGGCAGAAATGTCAACAGACCTGCCAATGGCGGCAGGAACTTGAGATGCCAAGCCGAAGAACAGGCAACAGGGGCTGGAAGGATGGTAACACAGCCAGGAGCACAGGTCCTGGAACAGAACCGTCCTGGTTTTGTACCCTGGCTCTGTGCCTCAGTTTCCTCACACTCACAACAGTCACCGGCTTCACAGGGCTGCTCTGAGAAATGAGATGATGTACTTAACACAGCATCTAGCCCGTCGCAAGCCTCAGAAGTACGGCTTAGAAGGAAGTCTGAAGGGCCTGCATGTACTTTGTACATGATATGGATGGGGGGTCCGCAAGCCCCATGAGCATGAGTTATTGAGTGTAAGGTCTAAGTAACAGCTTCCTTAGAAGTGGACCTCACATTACTCAGAATGAAGTATCAAGGGGCCAGGAATACATTCTGTATTCCACTTTCATCAAATTACTGTAAGCAACATTCAAGTGAAAGAGAGGGAGGAAGAAAGAGAATGTGGTTGATGGAAAGGGGTGGTTTCAAAGTTACTATGAAGGGGAAAATAATGATCCTCAAAATCAACCTTGGCACTCCTGAGGGGAGCAATAGGTTGTACCACCTGGCGAAGCGCTCCCCCACCCCTGGGGCAGACAGCTGTCTGTTTAGCTGAGCACTGGATGGAGCAGTTTTCTCGAAGTCAGGCTCATGTTGTACCAAAGGCACTGGGCTACAACAGGCACGACGAGATGTGCACACAGTGAGACACTTTGGAACGAGACCAATGAAGAGCCTACAGGGCCCCATCTCCTGTCTCCACCTCTCTCTGGGAAACACCCTTGAATGGAATGGAACCTCCACTGCCCATATGGTTAAATTTCCATAGGTTGTGTGTATGTATGAGGCCATGCCAATGTATGCAAATTTAAAACCATACCTAGCCAGGGCTTACTCTTCCGGCACCTAGTTTCCGGTTATCGGCCAGGGAAGCCTGCGGGATGCTGGGTGAGAAGGACCTGGCAGCCAGGAGCCAGTGTATGAGGTCCTGCAAGCCTGGACAAGGCAGGAGAAGGTCACCTGTCACGCACGGGCACATGGAGGGATTCTAGTGGGCATTTCACAATCCCCGCTCCTAGGATATATGCAGAAATCATACCCTGCAGAAGCAAGGGAGGTGCGAAGGCACTGCAGCCAAGAGTGAAAGCAGTGACCATAAAAACTAAGTTCAGCCCTTACAGGAACCCGGAGACTTCACAGCTGTTTCCTGGCAACCAGGGGTGGATTAACCGAGGGGCCTGTTCTAAACTTGACTAAAGAAGGCCTTAGGTCCCCTGACCACACCTCAAAGACTTCCCAGGGTTAGAAAGCAAAGAGGTAGGTACACTCATTTTAGTTCAGCCCAATTAAGATCTCTCAGCTTCCACTCTTAGTGCTCTGTGCTCCTTTCAGTGCCTAGGGGCGCAGGTCAGATCTTGTCACTCCCTCTTTCTCAGACTCTTATTCATTCAACAAATATTTACTGAATATCTGTACTTCATTGGTTTCCCTTTACACGGAACAAAATCCAAAGCCACATCTCTCCAGCTCACCATCTGTAACATGCCTCTCCTGCACACTAAGGCCTTTGTTTTCTTCTTTCAACGGGCCAAGCTCGGGCCTGCCCCAGTGCCTTTGCACTCACTGTCTCCCCTCTCTCCTGCCTGTGGCGCCCTTCCTGCCAGTGGCTCCTTCCATCATTTGTCTCAGTTCAAATGCCCCTCTCCAGACCCCCTTTACCACATGGCACAGTCTCCTTCCCAGCACTTACTGCTATCTAAAATTGTCTCTATTATTTGCTCCTTAATGGCCTTCTCCCTGACTAACGGAGAAGCTCCGAAAGGACAGGGGCTACGCTTGCCTTGCCCGCTATTGACAATGAGAGGCAGCAGGCCCTCAATCAGTGTCTGCTGAAGACACTGGCAGAGGAGTGTGGGCAAGCCCACTTTGAGGCCCCTGGAAGCCTGCCCCCTGCTACCTAAACCACGCTGTGTGCCCCTGTACTGCACCAGACAGCAGCTGACACCGCTTCGGCGGACCAGCACTGCTCTTCCAAAGCACTCTCCAATGGGCAGGGTCTCAGATCAGGTCACTGGTACTCCAGACTAGAGGTGGCCAGTGTTAAGTGACTGACCACAGGGCTGGGATGTAATGCTGTCAGGACGCTGGCGGCCATGGGCACATTGCACCTCCGTCCCCAGTTCAGAGCAGCCTGGCAGGGGTGTCTGTCACTCTGGGGAGAAGTCTCCCACAGCAGACTGGCCTGCCTCGGCCTCTCTCTTCCCACAGTGCCTGCAGCGCTATCCCGGTTACGAATTGGCTCAGCACTGTTTCCACTGAAACCACAGTCTGGGAAGACCCTGTGGTCTCCTCTACCCTCCCAGAAGACCCCCTGCTCTGGTGTAAAAGGCAGCCTGTGGGAGGTCAGGCTGGTCAGACCCCTCTATATCCTCCGCCTCCTAGTCCCACTGACAGCCAGACAAGGATGGCTCCCTGGGATAAGAGAGGAACACCAGCCCGGACAGACGGCCTCCACTCAGCCCGCTCCTTTTAGGGCGTCAGCCCCAACCGTGCTGGTCTGGTGCTGGTGGTGCTGCTGCTACTGCTGCTGCTGCGGCCATAAATGCCGAGGCTTTCAGGACCCAGGCTAGTGGCCCTGTTCACTTCCTCCCTCCGAGCTCGCCCCCACTTGGGAGGGTATCCTCTGCCACCCTCACTGGCAGGCACTCCAGGGCACAGCCTTCTCCACAAAAGAGGGACACCGGCGCCCCCAAACCCTGCACTTCCGGAATCAGCCCCTCTGGGGACCTCAGCCAGCCAACCCTCGCCCCGCCCCCTCGGCACGTTAACCATCCCAGGTCCAACGGTGGGAGGCTAAGTCCGAAACGGGCCTTTGCGGGAGGGGGGATCCGATCCTCCGGCCGCTTAGGGGTGCAGAGCCCGGAACCCAGTCTCAACATAAGCGCTGCTTCTCTTGGTCTCCCAGGGGCCGGGCGGACTCCCCCTCCCCAAGGGGACCCCTCAGTCCCTGCCGCCCATCCGGGGGCTTCCTCGCTGCAGCCACCCAGGAAGTCCCATCACACTAGACCCTCAGACCCCGCCTGCGTATTTCCAGCGTCCGGAGGGGTCTCCCTAAAACAGACCCTTCCAGGGCAAGCTTCCCGCCCCCGACGCAGGAGGGGATGTCGCTCCTCTTAACAGACACATCTCTGAAACCCTCACGGCTGCCAGTTCACCTGCTTTTCACCCAGTATCGCAGGTTCCCAGCGCCCGCCCCTCCGGAGCCTGCCTCCTAGCACCTGTGTCCTCAAACAGGGGCTGCTGACCACAGGGTCACTTCACGACCGACCGCACCGGCCAGCACCCTCAGGAATCCGAGATCCTTCCCACCCCCACCCCCGCCCCAGAAGCAGCCAGCCCAAAGCTCCCCATTCTTTTCTGATTAAAACAGAGACCCCCTAAGGCTCCCCTTTCCAGATTAAAACAGACGTTTCCTCAGCTCTAACCCGGTCCCCAGAACTGGCGCTGGAACCGTCCGCGCAGCCAATGGGGGATCTTCTCAGCCATCCCTCAGGATCTCGGTGCCTCCTCCCACCCACCCTGACGGGCTTCTCGAAGTCCCAGCCAGACGGACATCCCCAGGCTCCCCCTTCATCCGGGCCCACAGCACCCAGCAAAGCACTTTCATCAGCTTTGGGGCGTCTCTTCCTCCTCTTGGGAACCCCTCGATCTCCCCCAAAGAGCCGCCGGCCCCGATCTCCTCAAGAGTGCCCCTAGGCTCGCCACTGGCCCGTTTAGGCCACTCGGTAGCGCTGCGGGGCCCGTCCCTTCTTCTCAGCGGGGCCCTCACGCCGCCCAAGGGAGCTTCTGGGCCTCACCGCGCCGCCCACAGGCCCCTCAGGCCCCCGCCCGTGCTTCCGGCCGCAGCCTGCTCCTCCTCCCCACTTCAGGCCGGCCGGGTCGCCGCCGCGGAGCCCAGCGGACAGAGGCAGCGCCAAGGCCCCGGTCACGCTGCAAGGGCCTCTGCGAGTCCCCGATTCCCGGTCCGGGCCCGCCTTCCCTCAGCCCGCGGTGCCCGGCACCCCCGCTCACCCGAGCCCGTGGTGGCTGCCATCTTGCGTCGCTGTCGCTCGAAGGCCGGCCCCTTCTTCACCCCCCACCCGTTCCTGGGCCCTTCTGCGCAGGCGTGCGCGAACGCGCAGACGCGGCCGCTGACGCCCGCTCCGCAGACCACGCGACCCGACGCGAAGGAGAGGTTTTTTTTTTTCCCCCTGCCTTTTTAGAGAGAGGAAATATTTGTGTGCGCGAGGGCACTGCAGGCTGCAAGTCCTTCCGAGTTCGGGTGCGGAGGAGGTATTGAGGTGCTTGGTGAGAGAGCAGGGGTGATCCGTCTTGGGAGGACGCAGTAGTAAAAGGAAAAAATAGAAGGGAAGGAAGCTGTAAAAAAGCGTCTGTTTTTCTTCGGGCGTTTTCCTGTCTGGTTGGATCCTCGCTACTTCTCTACCAGGTCGGAATTAATGTGGAAAATGAAGCTGCGAGGGGTTAAATGATTTACCTAAACTCAGCTGTTAAGTAAATGAGTCAGAGTTTGAACCCAGGCCAGATGCTCTTGCTTCCTGAGTTGATACTTCCGGGCCAGTGGAGGCTTGTCAGCGGCGCAGATAAATGGTTTGAGGGCATTAAGGTGGCAGGGAAACCATTCATTCATCCACTCATCAATTCATTTATTCATCCAAGCAAATAATTGTCTACTATGTGCCAGGCGCTGTGCTAGGTACTGGGGATGGATATATAGCCCTGAAGAAGCAAATTTCCACTCTTACTGGCTTGCGTTCTAGTCGGAGACAGAGCAAGGAAACAGAGGAAAAATACATAATTATGATATGATAAAGAGTAAACCAGGAAAGGGGCGGTAGAGGGTGCTCAGAAAGACTTTTGAGGTGTTCACATTTCAAGGGAGACCTGAATGATGAGGAGGTAGAGTGGAAACAGCTTGATTACAGGCCCAGAGTACATATTTCCTCTTTTACTGTAAATGGTCTGAGAAGCCCTTATATGGTTGTGGAAATAGGCTGCAAGAAGTGAAGGGACTGCTTCAAGGTCACACAGCTAAACACTGGCAGATGAAGGACTAGAACCTTCGGTAGAGAGGAACAAGGAAGCTGGAAGCCCTTGTACTCAGCACATCCAGTTCATCACCTTGTTCTGACAGCAGTGCTTCCTGAGCACTTCTCAACTCCGTCCACTCTTCCTACTTAGGGTAGGCTGCCCCTGTCATCCACCCAGATGACCCCGGCAGCTTTATTCCTGCCTCCCTGGTCTATCCTCTACATGGTGGCAGAGTGCTCAAAAGCCCCTCTGTTAAAACTTTCAGTGGTTCCCTATTCCCTCAGGATAAAAATTCAGACTCTACAAAGTAAGTGGCCATAGAATTATGCAACAAGGACAATCATTAGAATGATAGCAGGCCTAGTATAATCTTGTAGGGACAACAAGGAGAAACCAGGATTCTCTGGGGCCAAACAGGATGGATGGCTGCCCTATCCGCAACCCTGCACTTGGGGCCGGGGAGATGTGTAAGGCATCAAATTTAGGAAGGCTTTCACCCTGAAGCCCCGGCGCCCTGCGCTTGCACAACACTGAGTGCCTCTCTAAAATCTGCACCCTGGGCGCTTCACTCCCCCCCCCCCCACGGCACTGCCTGCACCTCATGAGACTTGCTGTATCTCCCCAGTTACACTGGCCCTTTTCAAGGCTTCTGGAACACATTCTCTTCCCTCCTCAGGGCCTTGGACTGTGCTGTTTCTACTGTCCAGTTCTCATAGCATCATACTGTGAATTTGACAATCGAGGTCAAATTCAGATTTAAATAGTAGATTCTCGGGAGGAAGTCGTGTATCTCCTTCCCATCACTGGCCACACACAATTACCTTGACATTATTCCATGTACCACATGATTCAAGTTTACCTTGAAGAGAACAAAAAACATTTGCCTTGGACTTTGGGTCACTATATAGCATCAGGAGTAAGTGGGAAAGTATTTAGGCTTCTAAGGTGGACCCCACTCTGGTGTGTAATTTTTCTGGGTTCGAGTCCTTATTCACCGTTCACTTTGCTGTGTGACTTCAGACAAGAGACTTGAACCTCTCCTGGCGTTAGTTTCCCCTTTTGAAAAGAAGGATGGAGCAAATCAAACCCAGAGGGTGGCTGTGCAGATAAAGATGCTTTGCTAAAACGCTTGGCACACGGAAGAAGGGACACTAGGAGAACTGATATTTACCAAGATATATCCAGCTTTTAATGCTCACAACTCAAGGTGGCAACTCCTGAGTATCCCCATTTTAGAGATGAAGAGAGCGAGTCTGAGCTAGCAGATGGAGAAGTGAGGATTAAAACACAACCCTCTGATCCACGATGCTCATAAATGTTTACTTGCATAGATGTCTTGGTTCTCGTAGGAAACTCTCGCAAGCAAAATCGACAATAAAGCATATTTCTATGCAAAGAACCTCGCAGGAGGGAATATATCCCCGCAGAATGGCCCGAGGCATGCTGGTTATGATAGTCCTGCAGTGTCGAGGAGCCTGCTGGTAGTTGTAGTCGCCCCTTGCTCACACTCTCTCGGAGAGGCTCCGCCCCCTCCCCTGAGGTCACAGCTAGTCCCCATAGCAAGATTCCTCCAGCTGCCTGAGCAGGCGCTTGGCTCTGCTGAGCAGGTAACTTCAGTTGATGCGGATTAGAGAGTCCGGTTTTATCGGATTGTTGGGCAAGTTAAAATGGTCAACAGAACTAAAGAATTTAGAAAAGGACTTGGCATAGAGTGAATGCTATATATTAGTTGCCATTATATTACTTAATCCATACTGCCCCTTGAAAAGTAGCTACTACCACTTCCATTTATCAGATGAAGAAGCTGAGGCTCTGAGGACTTACATGGCTTTCCCAGAGCCACATAACAAGGAAGGAGTAAAATCAGGCTTAGAATTCAGTTCTCTTAGTCCTGGGGCACCTGCCTCTGTGGTGAGGGAGCTGGAGCTTGGGAAGGTTTTCACTAAAACGTGGGCAGCTTTGCGTTTTTACCAAGTGCTGCCCTGAGGCCTCCGGGAGACCGAATTGGGCAGCTGCAAGACGGGAGGTGGGGAGTTGAGAGGTGTGTTGGGCAGCAATGATTGTCAGTCCGGTCACCATGTCCCTTCAAGCTCACAGTAGCCCAGTTTTGTTTAGGAGGCCAGAAGGTCCAGTGGCCAGGTGTGAGTCCAAGGCGGAACTGGGCCCTGCCATCTCCTTTTGCCATTGATTGATCCCGTGGTGTGCCTGTGACCTAGTCATTTCTGGCCAATGAGTTGGGGAGGGGACATTTTTGGAAAGTTTTCCTCCCCCGATAATAGCCTTTTCTTTTGTCCCCTTTCTTCCTATAATACAGTGATTTTCTCATGGCACACATAAACTAATTACTAAAATTCTGTGGTGCACCCCAATATATATATATTGCTTATATGACAAAAGAGAAAATAAGGTATAATTTTGATTCCTGTACACCAGACAGGAAAAGAGGTTAGTGCTCCTGACCAAATAGGTATTGCATGTTTTAAAAGTTCTTGTGGCACACCAGTGTGCCTCTTGCAACACACTGGTTGGAAATCTCTGCTGTAATGAGGTGGTTACGGTTAGAGCTGTCACAATCATGATGAAACCACGAGGCATGGCCCTAAGCCCCCAAATCCGACACACTGAAGGTGAGAGCGCAGAAAGGTGACAAGAGCAAGAGCCTGGAAGAGGTACGTGAGCTGAGACCCCGGGGCTGCCGACCTACAGGCTTCTTAAGACATTAGATAATAAGTGCCTCGTTGCTTAAGTTGGTCTTTTTTTAATTTATCGATTTTTAGAGAGAGAAACATTGATTTGTTGTTCCACTTATGTACGCACTTATTGGTTGATTCTTGTACGTGCCCTGACTGGCTATCCAACCCTTAACCTTGGCGTATCAGATGACACTCTGATGAACTGAGTTACCCAGTCAGGGCAGGTTGCTCTGAAAGGTCAGTTTTTGTCGTGTGTAGCCAAAAGTAAGCCTAACAGTTATAAGGAGCCGGCTCGTGCTCCAGTCAAGAGACCCGTGGATATAGACTGTTCCACAGCGTTCACTCCAAAACACTGTTCTCAGCGAGGTGGGAAAACTCGAGGGCAGTGTGGGAACCTCTGGGATATGCAAGGCACGAATAGTTTGAAAAAGCATATTCAAAATATTAAAAAAATGCAATATGCTTCGCAAAATGTACAGTATTATTTTTTAGAGCAATGCATACTTCTCAAACTCTAACGTGCACAGAAATCACCAGGAATCTTCTTAAAATGCCGATTCTGGTTCCATGAAACCAGACGGGGATCTTGAGATTCTCCATTTCTAACAAGCTCCCAGGGGCTGCCAATGCTGACCTGCAGACCACACTTTGAGCAGTAGCAGGGTTGTGGCCAACGTTATATAATCTAGTTTGTATTTCCAATTTAGGGTTAAGAAAACCCCCAGCCTCATGCTGCAGCTTTTATAACACAAACTACAGAAAGTAAAGCTGATGAACTGTTGGCAGGAGACACCTGGCATGGGCACCCAGGAGACAGAGGGTAGAACACCTGGAGAGGTGTCTGTGGTTGGTAGGGTGTGTGACACGTTTGCTAGTGGCATTTCATGGCACACACGTGGAGTTTGTTCCCCTGGTGTGTGTCTGAAGTATGACATTGAGATACTTTAATGTTTTGTGTGGTTGCTAAATATACAGCCAGAAAGGGATCGGAGTGGGTGGGCAGGGAGTCGTGCAGTTCATTCATTCGCTCTATTGCCGGGCATCTGGGCTGTTTCCATTGGCTTCCCCCCATACAGTTTATTTCTGTAATGTCAGAGTTTCTGTGTCAGCTGTTGCTTTTGTGTGAAGGAAAGAGGACTCAGAGACCAAGGATCTGGAGTGGGAGGAAAGCAAAAAAAAAAAAAAGGACGCGGTTCATAAATTTATAAAGAACCCTTGCAACTCATTAAGAAAAAAAGATAAACAACCCCAAAGAAAAATGATAATCATAGCAAATGGTTAAGGAGCATTTAGTATGCTCCAGAAGTGTTTAGCTTGTATTAATTTATTTAATCTTCACAACTACCCTATGAAGTAGGTACTGTTATCATCCCATCTTACAGAGCAGGAAACTGGGAAAGGTTAGGTAACTGGCCCAAAGTCACAAGCTTGTAAGTGGAGGAGCTGGGATTTGACCCCAAACTTTTAACCACTACTGTCCTGCCTTTCAAGAAAAATAGGAAGAGGACATGTACAGAATAAGGAAATTAGGTAAGATACCCTGTCTCATTTAGCATATTTCATTTCAGTGATTCTAAAGGGCCAATTTTTACATTCAAACATCCGTGAAATCAGGACGCATCTTTATAATCAATGATATCTTAGATTCAATGAAATACAGTAAGAGAAATGCAAATTAAAACCGGCTATCAGATTGGCAAAGAACAAAACACGCGATAACACACCGTGTTGGCAAGGGAGTGAGTGAACTGGCGCCTTTCACAGCTGCATGAGTTTAAATGGGCGCGGCCCCGGTGGAAGGCAGTGAATGAGGCCCGAGCTCTCAGTGTATGTGGCCTGAGTCTAACACACACCCTCAACCTGGCCGTTCCGCAGGGGGGACCCCTCAGGTCTGTGGGCTGTTATGGGCAAAGATGTCAGTTCTCTGATGCACATAGCGGCGGCAGTTCATGTTTCCCAAGACTAAAAACGACCCGACATCCAGCGAGGTGAGTTTAAAGAGGCAGGCTCATCCTGAGGTTGGAATGCTGCACAGAGTAAGGCAGCACTGATGTAACACTGCCTCCAAAACACTGAGAGAAAAGGCACAGTGCAGACCAGAACTGTGTGTCTCTAATAGTCTACCCGCTTTGAGAAAATGGGGGCAGACATGCCTCTCCACCTGTACAAGGGACTTGCAAGGGTCTTGTGGAAATGATGGCCTCTGGAGAACTGGGAGCTTTGGGGAGCAGGAGTGGGGAGCAATTTATTCTTCGCTCCAGACCAGGAGATGGTTATGTTTTTCTGTAAAGAGCCAGATTGTAAATATTGCAGGCTTTGCAGGCCGCTTGGTCTCTCAGCTGCTGTCCTGAACAAGCAATCGTCAGATCAAATGCAAGTGGATGGGTATAGCTGTGTGTCAGTACAAGGTTACAATCCAGACTAAAAATTGGAATTTTATGTATTAGGAAATCCTTTTTCCCCCAACTTAAAAAATTGCTCATGGACCAAAGGAAAACAGGTTGCCCAATTTGGCCTTCTAGCGGCAGTCAGCTGACCTCTCTGCTCTAGACCCTTTTGTATTGTTTGATTCTAATTCTTTACCTTATACATGCATTACTATTACAAAATAATGTTTAAGAGGGGAACCTGAAATTTTGGGTTTATCAAAAGTGGGGGTGGTTAAAGTTGGGGGCAGGTGCTCCGGCCAGACCCCTCTACGTGAGCAGCGAGGACGATGCAGGACATTCCCCTTGAACTAGAAATCCCTGTTTGTCCTGCGCTGCCACATGCTTCACTCCACCAGCAGGTGGCAGCACAATCCACCAAAAACCGGCCATCCCCGAACCAGCTGGGAAGTCTAAGGCCGAAGTCCGCCCACACGTACCTGTTTCGTTTGCCCAAGGTATGTTTAGAAATGCTGGTATGGAACCAGCATTTAAAAATCTGGATTTCCAGGTCCTTGTTAATCAGCTGATGTGAGTAGGAGCCGGCCTTTGGGCCTGATGTCTCCGGGCCATCAGTGTCGGCTGCTGTTTTTCATCCTGCTGTGTTGCTGTTTGCTCACAGAGGACAGGTCTCACTGGCCACCTCCCTCGTCCTGGCCCCTCCACTGAGGCTGCGGGCAGGTATTAGAGCACCATGGCTCTGGGCAGATCAAGGCTCAGATTCAAGCCCTGCCATCTACCTGTTTTGTGACCTTGGGCATGGTACATAACCTCTGTGCCTTAGTTTCCCCATTTGCAAACGGGGCTAAGTGTATTCCCTCTCAGAGCCGCAGGGACTGCCAGATGGGTCCCAGTGCAGAGAACTCTTCACAGTCTGCACATGGTAAGTGCTCAGGAGATAACCAGCTCTCCTGCCGCGTCCCCCCCCCCCCCCCCCCATAGGCACTTGTTTGCAACACCCCATCCCACAAATGGCTCTCACGCTCTCAGACCTGATGCACAGCACACCTCCTTCTGGTTTTGAAATTATTTCCCAGCCGCTGGGGATTCAGGAGCTGGGAGAAAGTGTGTGAGAAGCTTGGCTCTGCCTCACTTGCTGTGGGCAAGAAGCTTCAGCTCTCTGGAGTGAGGCTGGTGTTTTTTCTGGCTCAGGGGAACTAACACAGGTTGCTAGGACTTAGAAAACCTCTCCCTCTAGCAGGCCTGGGAATGGGAAACCGACCCCTGCAGCTCCAAGGCTGCCTATCCGGCCCCTCCAAAAAGTTTGGGTGTCTGCTCCTTCCACTGCAGACTTCTTTTGATAACACCTTGGTTTTTCTTTTGGGAACCACCCCTCTCTCTTCACATTCTGCAGTTTGGGAAGTGTGGATCCCGCCTCTGCAACTCCAGGTGGACTTGTTTCAGCCCTGGCCAATCACAACACTTCTCCACCAGTTCCCCCCTCCCCCCCGCAAAGTGATTGGTTCAGGGAAAGACACATGATCCAATCCAGGCCAATGAGAGGCTGTCCTAGGGCTTTTGCTGTAACTACTGGGAAAGCAAACTGTCCCACTGAGATTGCTGAGCTGGTCCAATGTCAACTCGGAGAAAAACTAGACCTAGTCAGAGACCAAGTTCTGGTGAGTCACGTAGGCTTCTGAGTCCTGCCAAACTTTAAGTCGAAACCACCTCTGAATTTTTCAGTTATATGAATTTACAGAATTATTTTTGCTTGTTAGAGTTTTCTATAACTTATGAGTTGATGAATTCTAATACCCCTTTGTGGTCCCTTCAGTCACAACTCTAGCAGTGGACAAACTTTAAGGAAAATGAAGTTATGGGTCACATTTTTTAAAAAGTGCTTCATCTGTGACTGCTTTTTGTCATTTCTCTGTCCTCAACAGGCTGCTTCTAATAATGTAGACACTCTCCAGCCCGGACTAGATACTGATTGTGACGCCTGTAGCGTTCACCACTGAATCCCAGTGCCTGGCACAAAGGAGGTGCCTTATGATGACTTGTTCAGTGAATAAATGAACAAGGCACTCATTTGTCCGAAATGTCCAGTATCTCCCACTCGCATCAGCCTGTGAGGTTCTGTATAATGAGTCTCCACTTTTCCAACCCCACCTTTCCCCCTTCCCCTTGCTCTCTTCACTCCAATCACACTGTCACTTAAAAACCCCAAGCTTGTTCCTGCCTCTGGTCCTTTACACTTGCTGTCCCTCAGGTGTCCTCTTTCCCCAGTTCTCACCCCAGCTGGCTCCATCTCCACCTCCAGGTCTCAGCTCTAACGTCACCTCCTCGGGCCCTCCCAGGCCACCCCGCCAAAGAGCCCCACTCCGCTTTTCCAGTGTGGTGCCACGCTGCTTGATTTTCTTTACAAATCAACATCTGAATGCCTGTATACATGTATTTATGTTTATTGTCCCTTCCCCCAGGGTCGTCTCCGCTGGGGTAAACCCTTGTTTGGTTTGCTCAGTGCTGTGCCCCAGGGTCCAGGTCAGAGCCTGGTACACACTAGTTGCCAATACACATTTGCTGAAGGAATTCACTAGTAGGGATCTGCCTTCATTACTCTATCACCGTGATCTCTTGCAAAAGGATCATTCCTTACCAAATCACGATCCCCTCCAAGTGTTTGGGGCAGGTATCACCATTCACTAACTGTCTCGGGTGACGAGGCCTCCATCCTGAGCCCAGGGTTGCCGGGGAAGCTGGGAACAGGCCAGGGTGGCACCTCACCCTTCAGACTCCTTCCCCCGCCTTCCCCAGCCAACCAGGAAACATGAGGCTGCCGAGGTTAAGTAGACTCTTGCTGCTTTGTTATAAATATATTATGTACATCCAAAACATGACATTAAAATATTACTCCGTGTTACAGAAAAGATATTAAGGCTTTCTATTATTTACATTAAACAAGCAAGCACCTTTAAAAAAAAAAACAAACCAAAATGAGAAAAGCCCCATTCTTCCTTCTCTGACATACCCCCGGCCAGAGAGAGCACTGTGTCCCATTACAAGTGATTTAAGACCCACTGCAGGGGCTGCGCCCTGTGAAGTCATCCTTCATTCACTTAGAAACATCCGCTCTGGCTGGGACCATGTCCCGACTGAACAGTCCAGACTTGGGTAGGGGATTCTGGCTTCTTCTGGCTGCCTGCCCTCAGACCCTCGCTGCACTGTGCCATCCGAGTGGACAGGCCAGGCCAGGGCTGTCCACCAAGGCCTCTGGGGTCCGTCTGCAGAGCTATGACAGGGCAATGCTCCAGGGACACTTAGGTGTGCCTGGGGGCTCCTGGACCACGGCAGGCAGACAAAGAGGGACAAATAAGACAACTCAGTCACCCCAACGCCAACCATGCTGAGGGGCTGCCCAGTGGGGCTGGGGGAGGCTGCAGTGTAGGGAGTGGGGGTGAGCTTCTCCTCTACCCAAGGGGCTCCTTTTTCTGCAGAGTCAGGCTTGGCAGACAGAGCAGCTCAGGTAGCTAGGGAGGGGCCAAAGAAAGAAAACGGGGGAAAAAGGAAATTAAAAATCAGTGGCTCAAGTATTCTGTGTCACAGAGGGTGGGCTGGGGGTGCCCAGGCCCAGCCCAGGAGGCATCCTCTCCACCTGGAGGGGCCAGCGCGAGGAAGGCTGGAATTTGGCAGATGGCTTCGGTCTGGGGAGGCTGGGGAAGGTTGGCAACAAGGCGGCGGGCTGGAGGAGTTACTTGATCTTCTGGGCCCATTTCATGTCGTCTGCCCGAGGCTTCTCACCCGTCAGGCCCTGGATGAGGTCCTCCAGACGTCGCCAGAAGCCCATCTTCTCCAGAGGGTAGTTGAGCCAGCCTGCAGTGGAAACAGGGTGCCAGGGGGTTGAATGGGAGAGCAGTAGTTGAGGGAAAGTAAGGAGAGAGCCGATCCTACCTGGGGCAGAAACTACAGGGAGGGGGCTGCAGAGGGGAGGGGACAAGGGGTGATCAAAGAATCTGGGAGGGAGGCCACCCACCAAGGGGCTCAGGGGCTGCTCACACAAGCCTTCATACCCTCACTCGTTCACTTTCTTACTGAGCATTTACTATGTGCTTGGTATGGTGGCTGTTTCTTATCACTTGGCTCAAATGCCACCTCTCCCAGGAAGCCTCCCTTGACCACCACTTAAACTGTACTCCATGTCTGTCACACCCCCATCTTGTATTTCTTTATAGCCTTTATGATAATGTAACCATTGTCATTAATTCAGCACTTTCCTGTGGTTTTTTTTATTGGTTTTTCTCGCCAGCCTCCAACTAGAATGTCAGCTCTGAACAGCAAAACCTCATGTTCTTTCACTGTTGATGCCCAAGTGCCTTGCATGGTGCCCAGCACATAGTAGGTGCTCAGTACACATTGCTCACAATCTTATTTCATATCTGTAGTAGTTTCCCATCCAAACCAGGCAGGTACTATCACCAGCCCCCTTTTCCACATGAGAAGACTGAGACCTGGAAGGCAGTTTCCCAGTTAGTAGGTGGCCAAACCCAGATGGGCCCCGGACGTGGCCGAGCAGTTAACTGAACTCCTACACTGCCTAAATTCTGGCCCCCACACCTGCCCTCAAAGACCATGACTTTAGGATATACAAAAAATATTTTTTGTGGCTCTCAGTTCTGCCTTCAGGAAAAAACAAAACGATCCCCCCAAACAAAACCCCAGTAGCTTATTGAGTACCTACTATGTGCTAAGCACTTTGACCCTGCCCTGTGCCATTCACACCCTAGCCCTGCGAAGGTGGAATGTGCAGGAAGTGGCTACAGCCCCATTTTTCGGACGAGAAATGTGAGACCTGGGGAGGCCGGAGTCTTCTACAGGCACACATGGAGGAGATCACACCTGAACCTGAGTTTGCCTGACTTGATAGCAGTTTATGTACTTAACCTTGAAAGACCCAGTTGGTCTTGGCAAACCTGTGCACCTGACCTCTCCGGCACTGGCCCAGTACCAATGGCATATATGCCTCCTTACTGTTCCTCAGTCAGACTCCAGGCATCTCTCTGCCTCAGGACATTGGTACTTGATGTTCCTTTTGCTTGGCCCCATCCTTCCCCACTTATCTGCAAGGTCCCTCCTACACTTACTCCAGCTTTCTGACCTCCGTGTATGAACAGTCACTCTCCGCCCTTCACCTGGGACTTTATCATCTTTCTTATCGCTCTGCCCCTCAAGCTCTGCACTCCAGCCGCACTGGCCTCCCTGCTGCCCTTCACACAAATGCACACGCCCCTGCCCCAAGGCCTCTGCACCCACTCACTGTTCCCGCCACCCGCAGTGCTCTTCGTTCAGATCCGAGGGACTTTCTCCCTCAGCTCAAATGTCACCTGCTCGGTGGGACCTTCCCTTGACCACCCTATTTAACAGGCGAAGCTCCCTATTTCCTTCTCCTACCCCCTGCTTTACTTTCCTCCATAGCAGTTAGCACTCTCAGATGTAGTGCCTACTCCTGGTCTGGAATACCCCCGTTAGAATGTAACTGCCCTGAAGGCAGGACTTTCACTGTTTTGTTCAGTGCTGTGTCCTATGTCGAGAGCAGTGCCTGACACATAGTAGGTGCTTCATAAATATTTCCTAGGTAGGTGGGTGGTTGGAATTATAACTCCACGAGGTAGAGAGGGTGGTTTCTGTCTTGTTTACAACTGTGTCCTTAACACCTAGAAGAGTGCCCGGCACATAGTAGGTCCTCAATCACTATGTTCTGAGAGAACGTTCCCACAGGGCAGGGACTGTGTGACCTCCCACTGTGACCTGTACCCTCCCGACCCGGAGGATAGAGTAACCCCGAGGGGTGGGGGTGGCCTGTTCCGTGCCGCCCTCCAGCCGCACCTGTGGTGATGCAGAAGTAGGTCTCGTGGGGAGAGACGTGGTGGATGCGGTGGTGCTTACGTGGCAGGATGACATGCCAGTCCTGCAGTAGGGTGACCCAGCGTGGCAGCCCAAAGTACGTGTGTGACCACTTGTGGATCTGGTTAGTGAAGGTGCAGAAGATGATCAGGCAGAAGAGGAAGCATTCCCAGGGGTACAGCTGCTCCAGGGCTTCTGCAGGGCAGGGAGAGGGCGGGTACCCATAGGGCCCACGTACTTGTCACATGGGGTGGGGACTGACCCCCTTGCCTGGCCTTCACCACCTGCCCGGGGTAGCTCCCACCCAAGTGCCAGCCTCCCACATGGCCTTGGACAGGCTCAGACCCCCCTGCTCAGTGGGCAGGTACTTCTGCTCAGAAAGCACAAGTACTAGTTAAGAACACGGGCTCTGGCATCGCAGGGCCGGGTTCAGATTCCTGCCCTGATGTTTCTTGGCTGTATAAGTCTGGGTCGGCAACAGCATCCTGACGTCTTAGCTTCCTCATCAATAAAATGGGGGTAAGTCTTTGTCTAGGTTCCCCAGAAGCACAGCCTGAGAAAAGGATTCGGGTGCATGTGGTTTATTGGGGGAGCGGGGGAGGGAGGGGAATCCTCTACTGGAAGAACAAGTGGGGGAATGAGGGAAGCAGGACAGGGGCAGCGCTAAGTAAAGATGGGGTCGGGGAGTCTGGCCTTAGCCCGATCCCGGCGGAGGCGGGGATGGGTCTCCAGAGTGTTAATGGCTCCAGAGTTGGTCCCACTCAGAAGTGAGGGGGCTGGTCTTTTGTAGGTGCTTCCTGTAACCGGCTTCGGGCTAATCTCCAGGGGAGAGATGGGACCTGGCCTAGCAGTTCTCGGAAGAGGCAGTGGGAAGGCACCACGCCGTGGCCAGGGGAGGACCCCACTTCTCAGGAAGCGGACGTGGGTGGGACACCACGGCTCCCACTACAGCACAGGCACCCATCACATCTACCCACCGGAGGTTGCTCTAAGGACCACCAAGGTGTCGAGTTGTCAGAACAAGACCGGGAAGAGGTAAGGCCTCATCCCCCCACCTGACCGACGGGGCGTAGAGAGGCGCAGTGACGTGCTTTGGGACACGCTTCCTCTCTAAAATAGGGAGGGCGGACAGCCAAACCCAGCACTGCCTGAGCTCTCCGCTGATGCTCTGTCCACTAAGCCGGCGCAGCAAAACCAGGAGCTTGCAGCGCCGGGCAGTTGACACAACTGAGTGAGGGGGCCGGGTGCAGGACAGCAGGGAGCGTGGGGACTGGCGGACTGGGGAGTGCGCGCCCCGTCTAGAGGCAGCAGCCGCGGCTCTGCTACAGCCCAGTGAAGAAGCCAAGTGCGAACAAGACCCCAGGGGAACCAGGTCGAATTGTTTAAGAGAAGCTAGAAACACAGAGCTTTATGTCACATATCCCAATTTTACATGAAGGTTGCTAAAAATATTTTCATAACCTTGTGAGGAGTGAAACACATACATAAGCCACAGGGGGCTCATGGGGGCCAGGAGGAGTGTTTGTCCCCGATGGCCCCCAGGGGCCCGCCACCAGCTGGCATGCTCACCGGGGCTCTGGGTGCGGAACGTGTAGGCCATGTTCAACAGTGGCAGCAGTGTCACCAGGCAGTTATCGCCGTTGGTCTCGATGAAGTCATGACGTGTAATGGCCGTCGGGTCAATGTGGTGCTCCCGGAAGGGCCGGATGAAAGCCTGGGTAGGAAGGGGGGGGTGGACATGAGAGAGGGCGCGTGGCTCTGGTCACCCGGCCCACGGTCGTCAGCCCCTCCCCACAACAGCCTGCACACACTTAACCCGAGCTCACCTCCTTGGCTTTGAGATGCTGGAACATTCCATCGTGCCACTGATACAGATCCCACCCAGCCCTCAGTGTCTAGGTCTAGCAGCTCTAGCAGAAGACGGGTCGAAATGACCTGGCGGGGACCTTGGGCTGGACCTGCCCCCCTTTGGGCCTCAGTCTCCCCACCTGGGCTGTGAGGAGTCTTGGAGACAATCTCTGCCCTTCTTTCCCATCCTAAGACTGCTGAGGAGGCCCTCACAGTGACAGGCAGGAGCCTTTGCTTCTTCCCAGCATCTAAGTCCTTCCTTCTGGTAATCTCCTCCCCCTCTTCTCTTTGTAGAATTATTCTGATCAGCCTAACCACCCCCCATTCCCTACTTAAGAGTGAGCATGTGACCCCAGCTTGGCCAATCAGAACATTTCTTCCCTCTGGCTACAGTGACTGGCTGAGGGATGGGCATGTGACCCACACTGGGCCAATGGGAGTGAGCCATAGGATTTTGGCTATAACTCTGGGAAAGGAAGTGCTCCTCCCCCTGGGGGTGGCTGCTGAGACAGGAGAATGAAATTCTAGGAAGTTGGAAGCACAGCTACCTTACCAGGGGGAAAACCTACATGAGAATGAAGCCAAGGGAGAGGAAGGCAGAGACGGACGCTGAGAGAGACCGAGAGGAACATGGGTGGTCTGTCTGTCCTGCAGGACGCAGCCATGCCTTTTCAGGCTCTACTCCTGAAATTTTCAGTACACGAATCAGGACCTTTGCTTGGTTAAGCCAGTTTGTATTGGACTTTCTATAACTTACGACCAAAAAGGTCTGACTGGTACAAGATCAGGTTGTACCAGTGAGCCATAGCAGGGCAAGTGAAAACAACCAAGTGAGCCATAGCAAGGCAGGCAAAGGAGAACAAGAAGTGGCCCTAAAGTCAAAGGGTTCTGGTGAGGGGCCACCAGAGCTCTCCAGAAAATCCCAGGGGAGTCCTGTTCTAGTCCTGGAGGAGGGGCACGCTGGGCAGGCCGGAGGGGTGGTTCCCACCTTTCAGATGGGGAAACGGGGGTTCAGGCATCAGAGAGCCCCACCTCCTTCCAGAGGACACTGACTGGGTGGGGTCAAGAGACAACGCACCTTCCCCACGATGGGCAGCTCCACGGAACCCCACGTGTCGGCTCCCCAGTGCACCAGGCCAGACAAGAAGTCAGCAAGTAGAGCCCCTGCAACTGTGCACAAGAACAGGGTGAGTGGTAGGCGGGGGGGCGGACACACACGAGGAGCATCTCCCCACCTGCCCACCCCAAACCAGGGAGTCACGCATTCACTCAGTGGCTTGCTTGCTCATTCACTCGTTTGTCAGGGGCAAGGCTGTCCCTTCTCTACTTGGGATGCTTTCTTTTCTGTGAATGGAACCCCAGGCATAATACTCCTGGCCTCGATCTGGATCTGTCCCTTTACTTGCTCTGCCCCAGGGGAGATGCAGGGACTGAAGAGAATAAACTGGGCATGCTCAGATCAGCTCAACATGTCCCTATTAAGAACTGACTATCCCCTGCTCTGACCCCCAAAAGTCCTTTGTAGAGAAGCCCACTCTGCTGTAACGTTGCCAGTGACAAGGTGGAATTGTCCTTCTGGGGTTTGGTGTCAAGAAAGTACCTTAGCTGCAGATAGACACCATGCTCCCCAATCCTACCAAGCTTTGGTCAATTATAAATGTGATTATTTGGCATCTAGTAGTCTTTTCCTTGTCTTTGTTCCCATCTGGTTCAGAACTAGAGTGGGGGGTCCCTTTAGAGACCCCAACACCATTTGCTCGAGGGTTCAGTATGACACAGAGGTTAAGAGCTGTTAGATCTGGACTTAAATTCCAGCTGTCGTTCAGTAGCTGTGTGATGCTGGGTATGTTACTTAACCTCTCTGTGCCCAAGATTCCTCTAGGTAGATGGGAATGATGATGATTAGAAAATACAGCAGCTACCACTTACTGAGCACTTTTAGTGTCAGACGCAAGTGCTTTACATGCTTGAGTTCAATAAGTTCTCATAACCAGTTAGAAGTTGGTGCCCTTTTCATTCTCACTTTACAGAGAAGGACACAGGTTCGGAGAACAGAAGTAACTAGACCGAGGTGGCACAGATGGCATGCAGACCTGCCTTGGGGTCCAAATTTAACACAGCGGGAGGCACCATCCCCTTGCACACGTGGGGAAACTGAGACGGAGAGGCTACCACTTTCCAAAGTAACAGCCCCGTGCCTTCCCCCATCACAGCGAGCGCCCTCTCGCCGCACCTCAGCCTTCTGGGTGCGTCCCCTTGCATGTCTCCGGGTCTTCCCATTTGCTTTTCCCTCTGCCTGGAACATTCTAGCCCAAGATGTAACACAGGCTCACTCCTTTGCTTCCTTCAGGTCTCTACTCAAAGGCACACCTGGTCTAAAACTGGATGCACTGTTACCTTCCAGCATTTCCCATCTCCTGTCACCTTAAACTTCAGGGGCTTGGTAAATACTCATTGAACCAGTCGATGTAAACAGTCCAGTGCTTGGCGCACAGTGAGTCCTTAATACTCATTATAATCATAACTCATCATTTAGTCTGTGGTTCGGAGCCTGGGCCATGCGCCATACTCTGGAGCCAGACACGCACCAGACGCCAAACTCCCCGTCTCCAGGGCAGAGACATGAGGCAGGAAAAGCTATAAAACGTGGCAGGGGACGAATGCAGATTTCAGGGACAGTAAGTGTAGCCCACTGGGTCATGGGACTTCAGGCAAGCTCTTTCCCTCCCCCTCCCCAGACTCAGTTTCTCTGTGTGAACTTGTTCAAGTTCACACAGCTGGTCAGCCCAGCCAGGCCATTTAAAGGTTCCCTGAGTTGTGCTAAGGTCCTCAGCCCCTCGGTGACTGAGGCACCAGGGCTGACCAGGGCACTGGGGCACTGTGAAGGCTGCAGAAAAGTCCCCAGGGGCCTCCCTGGAGAATGGGGTCATGAGTGAGGGGGCCAGAGAGGACATGCAGGTCACCGTGGTCAGGCAGTTCTGATACTCGAGCCCAAGTTGAGGGGCAGCCAAGAATAAAGACCTCCGGGAGGCCCTGGAGCCTCCACCCAGTGGATACCAAACAGGGAACAGATGGCGGGGGCAGGGGAGATGCACTCTGTGCAGGCACCTGCAAGGACAGGTGGGCAGGTGAGGACAAGCACCACCTCCTGGAATGCGGAAGCCGAAGGATAAGCCCTAGGTGACACTGCCCAAGGAGGGCCCTCTGGGCCTGTGTACCCAGGGCCCCACCCAGGGCTGGGCAGCCCTTCTCCCCAGTGACACGCTGGGAGGGTGGACTCAGGTAAGAGAGTGCGGGAGGCCAGGCAGCGGGAGCCAGGGCTCTTGCACTTGCTGTTCCCCCAGCTGGCTCCCCACCCCTCCTAAGGTTCTCTGAGTGGCTGGCCCCTCCTCAGCCTTCCAGTTCAGGGCCAACATCACCCAACCCCCTGGTGAAAGCCAGCCTCTCCCCTCAGTCAGGTGCTCCTGGTCACATCTTTGTGCTTAATTTCTCTCATGGCACTTGTCACCGCCTGAGATGGTGCCATTTCTCACCCCCACTTCTTGGGTGAGGAAAGGGGCTGAGAAGTTGACCCCCCCCGCCCCCGCACTGTTCTGTGGAGTAAAAGTGGCAGCGTAGGATGGGCAAAGGCAGGTCTACCTGCCCCTAACACCAGACCCTTTCATGCCCTTAAACTGGGCCTCGGTCCAGGGGCAGAGCTCCTATGACAGAGTACGGGGTGCTCTATACACTCGTACCTTGTGTCTACCGGGAGGGGTAAGAGGAGAGGCACCAAGAGTTACGGTGACTCTAGATCAAGATCGGGGCCTCCTCTCTTGCTACCACATGGCTCTGTGACCCTCTGGGCCTCAGCATCTTCACTTGCAGAGAAGTCGGTATGGAGTCTCCAGAACCCCTCAGCTGACCCATCACCAAGGCCCCGCCCCAGCCGCTCCGGCAATGCCTCTAAATGCTGCCTGCACACAAAGGCGGCCTCCCAGGGGGTGGGTGACCTGGTGCCTCTTAACGTTCCTCTCAACCGCTGACCTGCTTCTTATCCTAGATTGGCTTTGCCTATTCTAGAACGGCACATAAATGGACTCATGTAGTATGTGCTCTTTGGGTGTAGCTTCTTTCATTGGCATAATGCCTCTGGAGTCATCCGCGTAGCTGATGTAGCAGCAGCTTCATCGTGTTTATTGCTGAGCTGTATTCCGAAGTCTGGATGTACCACGGCGGGTTCCTCCGTTTTGCTGTTGGGCTCTGGGTTGTTTCCGGGTGAGGCTGTTCCGGCTCACCTTCCCTGAAAGCGCTCGTGTACTGGCCTGCGTGCAGACAGATGCCCTCGTTTCCTCTGTGTGAAGATGTCAGCTTTTTCTTTAGTCTTTTCTTAAAGATTTTATTTACTTATTTTTAGAGAGAGGGAACGGGAGAATGAAAGAGAGGGAGAGAAACACTGATGTGTGACAGACGTGCGGACTGGCTGCCTCTCACCGCCCCCGCCTGGGGACCTGGCCTGCAACCCCAGGCGCGTGCCCTGACTGGGAATGGAACAGGTGATTTCTGGGTTCGCAGGCCGGCGCTCAGTCCACCGAGCCACACCTGCCGGGGCTGGTTAGTTTTCCCCTGGACGTTTATCGGGCACTTCAGGTACCAGGCCCTGTGTCAGCACCTTAAAGGTTTGATCTCTTTTAATCCCTGCAGTGCACTGAGGCCAGTCCTAAGCCGGTTACACATCTTATCTCCATAACCGCCCTGAGCAGTTAATCCTTACAGATGACAAACAGCAACAGAAACAACGCAGCCGGTCCCCGACCTACAACGGTTCAACCTATGACTTTTCAATGGCGCGAAAGCGGGGCACATAGTAAACTGCGTGCGGTGTTTCGCAGTGTGTTACAAAATAAGCTCTGTGCGTGGGTGTTGCCCAACTGTGGGCTGGTGGATCTGTTCGGAGCTTGTTGCAGGACGGCTAGGCTACGCTATGGTGCGTGTTCAGTAGGTTAGGCGTATTAAGTGCATTTTTGGCTTCCAATATTTTACCAGGATGAAACCCCATCCTAAATCAAGGAGCATCTATATTAGAAGAAACGACGTTTGTGGTATTGGTTAACGCTGGAGCACTTCCTGCCTGCCTGATCCTATGCAGAAGGCGTTCAAAAGTGCACCACTGGGGGTCACAGCTCCCCACACCTTACCTGTGGGCTGTGCGCTCAGTGCCTTCCAGAGAGTGCAGGATGGAAGGGGGCAGGGGTCACGTTGCAGTGGAGAAAGCTGGCGAACACTACTTGGGCCAGGGGCTCACACCGACAGTACGCGCCCTTGCTAGGATGCGACGAAAATGACCCTCCCCCTCTCAGCTCTTCCTCTGCAAAGCGTGTACCCCAGTCTGAGGAGAGCGCTGCACTCCACCACAGGGGCACGCAGTGACAGGTCCGTCCTCCTCAGAACTGCCGAGGGCACCAAAACAGGGAAAACGCGAGCAACTCTCCCAGCCAGGAGGAGCCGACAGGGGCATGACAACCAAACGTGATGGGGAGGGAGTCCCGAGTGGGATCCTGGAACGGGGAGAGGACATCGGGTGACACCAGGGCACACACCACGGACTTCGGTTCGTAATAATGCATCCACACCGGGGCACTAATTATAGCCGACGTGCGATGCCGAGGCAGGACCTAAGATGCTAATAACAGGAGAGGCTGGGGGCAGGGGCGCACGGGAACTGTCTGTGCTATCTGCTCGTTTTCTGTAAATCTAACTGTTCCAAAAATAAGGTCTGGAAAACTCTGTATTACCTCACTTCATGTCTACTGGGATGGGCCCACCACATCCTGGAGGAGGAGGAAATGAGTCGCAGGGGGTAAGGACTGGCCAGGGCCACACAGCCGCTGGACGGTCCGGGCTCCGGGCACGTGGCCAGAGACCATCGTGAAGTGTTCGGGATGACACCGAGCCTTCATGTCTGGGAAATGTGTATTTTAATAGTACTCACTTCACCTGACCAAAATCAAGTTAATAAGGTGGGCTAGTACGGGCAAAGTGCTTAGCATGGTCCCCGGGACACAGTGAGTGCTCCCCAAACGTAACCGTAGCAAGCAGTTTCAATGCTACTCTTCCGAGAGCCTCCCTTGGTCTTGTCACCTGTTGGAGGACCAGCACCTGGCCCTTTCAGCTGCCCAGCAGGGAGAGGTGTCCCCTTGGACAGAGGTCAGGAACTACTTTGGGAGAGAATGAGCCCCTCCCCTCCTTCAGGGAGGAAAGGGCTCTGGGACCCCCAGGCCCCAGGCTGTTTTCAGACAGCAGGCCTGCTGCCTGAGGTTGTTTTAACAGGGACAGTGGTGGCAGAGGCGGGCACACAGAAGCTTCTTTGTCCCAGCCAGTGGTGGTGGCGGCTGGCGGCTGGCTCACCCTGGGGACTGCTTCGGCCGGACTGCCTCCAGGTCTGCAGGACACTGGGGCAGGGCAGGGAATGGGGGATGACTCACTCCAGGCCGCCCTGACTCACGGGTGGACCCTGAAACAACCCCAGGCCTCTTGGGTGGGGGACCCCCCTTCTTCACAGGTCACCCAGTGGGGACTTCATCCCTGCCCAACTCTTGGCCTGGGGTGGACACTGAGACAGAGTGGACACTGCTAAGGGCTGGTCCACAGGGTACTGGGCCGAACCCTGGCTTTCTGCCCAGACCACACAGAGGCATCCCACCCGACTAGTCACCAAAACTCTCTTTCAAGGACCAACTCACAAGCCCCACACCACTTTTGGAATAAAAACCCTGGCCCCCCCTCTATTCCCTGAAGCACTGGGCACACACCAGCCTCAGGGCCTTTGCACCTGCTGTTGCCTGGACTACCCCTCTCAGAAACGTCTGCCAGGCACCCTCCCCCACCTCCACACAACTGTCACTTGTACAGAGAAAGCTCCCCTGACCTCTCCCATCTTCCCTGCCTACGCCCTTGCCTTGATCACGTGGCACTGTGCCACCTGTCTGCATTTCTCAAACGTGCACCTTTTCACGCTTTTGCCTCCCAATTTCAGAGGCCTTGCAGCAAAAGCGCTGGGACCTCTGGGGAGATAATGCTGGCGGGTGGTGGGGTGGGTGCACAGGCTGGCACTGTGCCCTTGCCTCCCGAGTGTTAACACACAAATCAGCGCAGCTACTTAGACTGATTAGGGACTGTGTCAACACTGCTATCAGGGGACTGTCTGCTCTTATCAGCCTGGAGGCAAAGGTATGAGACTGGGAAACTGGCCTCAGATGCGCTGGCCTGTCAGAGGTCTCCTGAGCCCAGGGTTGGAAGCTGCCTGGTCTCAGCCACAGAAGACTGGTGACTGCCTGGGATGTTCGCTGTCCTGGTTCACACCACGCATACCTAGGCCCAGAGGCTGCTGATCCTCTGCCCCAGCTGGGCCTGCTGCCAGCTGTTTCCTCCCAACAATAACTTTGAGAGCTGGGCATGTCTGAAAGGAAACTCGACCTCGGGCTCTGCTGCTGCCTGGGCGGGGGGACTGGGTGGGGTGGGCCAAGGGGCAAGTCGCCTGGCCACTCAGAGGACAGTGATCAGAACCTTCTCACTAGGCTGCCATCAAGAGTTACAAGTGCCCAGCCTGGGGCCCGGCACACAGTAGGTGCTCAGGAAATATCCACTGACCACCAAGGCAGACGGCCCTGGTCCTGGTGAGTGGCATGCTGGACAGTGACCCCTCGCTACCTCTCTCCGGTCACTGGTCCTCTCAGCAGTTATGCACATCTGCATCCTGCCCTCGAACTAGCCCTAGGAGGCAGGCACTGTGAGTGGTTTCACTTGAAAGATGAGGAAAATGAGGCTCAGAGATGCAATGACACTTTCCCAAGGCCACACAGCTGAGATGGTAAAGCCGGGACTGAACCCAGGTCTGCAGGGGCCTAGGTGTGTGTTGTGTGAACCACCCCAGATGAGGCTGTGGGCTCACGCTGCCTGCATCACTGCCATTGAACGAGAGGCTGGCAGTGCAGGCCCCTCTCCCCGCTGGGCAGAGGGGGTGCGTCTGGCTCCTACAGGCGGGGCCCAGGCTCCCCAGCACTGCATGGGCTCATCCCCCTCCCCTCCAGCTGGCCGTGCGCTGGCTGGCCACCTAGCACATGCCCACCCCCACCCCAGACCCAGACGGCTTATTTAGCTGGCCTGAGCACCACTGGCTTAAGCATCCAGAATGATTTTAATGAGAGTGTGGGAGTGGAGACAGTGAATTAAGAAGTATGTTGTACTTCTGGCTTGAGATGTGACTCTGAGCCAGGCCCTTCTCCAAGCCTTAGTGTCCTCATCTGAAAAATAATGAGGTAACTGTGGCATCTGCCTCCCAGGCTGTGGATCGGTGAACTGACCGGGGAAACCACTCAGAAGGCACCAATAAGTGTATTCCTTCATTCATTCATTCGAAGAATATTTATCACGCACCTACTGTGCGTCAGGCCTTGTGCTTAGAGCTGGGGACGTAGCAGTGAACAGGCAAAAATCTCTAGTCTTAGGAAGCTGACTTTTGATAGAGGAAACATATAATAAACACAAAGAATACACTGTATAAAAATAGGGTGGGGGGATAGTGTATGACAGGGCTGCCATTTTTTAGGAATAATTGGGGACAGGGCAGCTCCCAGGGGAGGTGACCTCTGAGCAGAGAACTCTGTGAGGTAGCGAGCTACGCAGGTACCTACAGGAAGTGTTCCTGGCACAGGGGAAAGCACGTGCAAAGGCCCTGGGTTAGGAGTGGGTCCAGCACAGGCAGAGTGAGGAGGCCAGTGGGGCAGGAGCTGGGTGAGCCAGAGAAGAGCGGAGGGAGATGAGGTCCCAGGCGGGGTGGGGGCGGGGCTGGGCTGAGGAGTTGGTTCATTCTAAGTGCACAGCGGGGATGGGGGGAGTGGCATGACCTGACTGAGGTTCTAACAGGATCCCTCTGGCTGTGTGTGGAGAATGGAGGCGAAGGTGGAAGTGGGGAGACCAGGGAGGAGGCTCCTCCGAGAGTCCATCGGGGAGGGGATGGCGGCTGGATCAGGGTGGGGCAGTGGAGGGAAAGAGCAAGGGCTGGATTCTGGATGCAGTTTGAAAGTGGAGCCGAGAACGTCGGCTGATGCTTTGCATGTGGAACTTGGAAGAGAGCAGCTGAGGATGACACCCAGGTTTTTGGTCCAAGGGACAGGAAGGACACGAATGCCACTGACTGAGAGGCGGTGTTCCCACAACACACACCGCACTGGTGCACACACGAGCACGCACATCCACACACGTATACATGCATACAAGTTGCCACCAGAGGGGCACAGACTCTAGGTGTGTCCCCGGCCCCCGTGGAAACAGAGGCAGGGGGCAGGGCCATGGGCACTCACCGACACCCAGCATTACGAGGGGCGTGTGCTCCCAGCGGGCCAGCAGCAGGAGGTGGACCAAGTTGTAGGCCACGAGGCTGAAGCACAGCACCACGCAGCACCACTCCTGGAAGCGTTTGCCTGCGGGGAAGGAGGGGAGAGGTCAGCGTGCAGGGCAGCTTCTAACTCTCAGATGCAGCCAGAAATCAGGGCGTGGGAGTGAAACCTTCTCTTTAAATGCTGCCACATATTTTTAACAGGCACATGAGCCTGGACAAGCTGAGACTCAGCGCAACTTTGTTTGAGGTGTCAAACCACTGAAATAAATTGTGTCCATGGCCTGGGGGACCAGCCAAATGAATGTGGTCCCCGGTATCTCTGGAGCTAGCAAAAAGCCAGGGTGTGCACATTAGGATATCCAGGACATATTGGTTAAGTGCAAATGACAGCCATTTATGCAAAAAGCAAACAAAACCCCCCCCACGTGGGTGACACAGAATGTGTGACAGGGTCCCTAAGAAAACTGTTTTCCCAGGTGGTAGCTGGTCCCAAGGGCATGAAAGACCCTTAATGATAATAATTTTCTTATAGTTAGTGTTTACATCTACTGAGCAATTACTGTGTGCAAAATAGCCGGGGTGATGCTATTTTGCAAATGAGCAGTGTGAGGGTCAGAGTGGTCCCAAGGAAGCAACCCAAGGCCACCTGGCTGGTCAGCTACAGGCCAGGACCCTGTGGCCAGAGGGTCTGGCCCTGAGACCCTGCTCTTACCTGTTCTGCTGTGTCCTTGGTCCCTTCCTATCACCCTTATGGCCTTGGCCACATTCTGGGTCAGGAGCACCTTAAACAGTAAGGCCAGGAAGGCCCTAGTGACTGATTAACCACTGAAGGGGCCAGGGCACATAAAGATGTTTCCTCCACCAAAAAAAGAAAGAAAAGAAAGATTCCTCTTGCATCTGTCCTCTCCTGTGTCATGCTTTGTATGTGCTATTTCCTTCACCCCTCTGCACCAGGCTGACTTTGGCACTGCCCCTGAAAAGCTCGACCTGGAACCTCTGCCTCCAGGAAGCCACCCATGATTCCTCCTCTGACCCCTGGGCTCTCCCAACATGGGGTCCATCATGTGGGACTGTCATTGTCTGCATAACGTTCGTCTTCCCCTACCCAAATGTGAATTCAGGAGGCCTAGGACTGTGTCTGGTTTGCTCACCAGGCCCCTGAAACACAGTAGGTGCTCAATAAATGCTTGTGGAATAAAATTCTCGACGATGATCCTAAGGGACAAACTGCCAGGCTTTGTCTCTGGGCGCCACCCCACCCCCCCAAACACTTGAGAAGGAAACACGTCATTGCTCCTGGTAGGGAAAGAGGCTCAGAGAGGGGGAAGGGGCCTCTCCCTGGTCTCAGAACAGCAAGCTGTGCCCCGAGCCTGGCTCAGAATAGCTGCCCTCTCCTGGCCCTGAGAAAAGACCAAGACTCAAAGTGAGGAAGGGACGTGCCTCGGGTCACACTCCCTTGGCCCCTTCTCATATGGATGAGGACACTGAGGCCCAGAAGTAGCAAGGACCCCAACAGGGGTCACAGCAGCAGAAGAGGGCCTAGAACCCCTCGCTTCCTGCTTCTTGGTGGTTTCCTGTGGGCTGTGCACACCCCACAGCCCCCAGCTGAGGTCACCACGATCTGGCTCCACAGGGCCTTCCCTGACTGGTTCCTCTTTGTGGCCCAGGCCTGGGGCTCAGAAGTAGGAAGCCTGGGGAGGGCAGTCAGCAGCGGGTAGGAGACAGGTGATTCCGCAATGCCAGTAACAATGGATGACACCCACTGAGGCCTACCACAGCCGGGGTGCCGGGGTTATCCCACATCGGAGATGCCACAGACCCACAACCTCTGGCATATTTTGCTCTCAGGTAAAAAAAAAAAAAAAATTAACTACACACACACACTCACATAAAATTCTATTTCCTGCTTCCCTTGAGAACATAGGACTCTGGCCACTCTGGGGCCTGAGCAGCACTGGCTGGTCTCATCAGAAGGGAGCGAGCGAGGGCTCCCAGTTCACCTTGGTCCCCTCCACTACTGGTGGCCTCATATTGGGTGGCTCCTTTGGTGGCAGTCCTGGCCAGGTCCCCACAATCATCTGAGTTTTTGAGCCTGAAGCACAGTCTTTCATTCAATTCTCAGTCCTTCCAGGTAGGAACTGTGTGACCCCATTTCCCAGATGAGGAAACTGAGGCTCAGTGAGTAAAAATGAAGAGCTGAGTTTAAAAAAAAAAAAATCCTGAACTCACAAACAGGAGACACGATAGCCTGAATGCTCAGGGCTGTCCTAATTCCAAAGATTGGTCAGCTCTCCCCCCTGCCATGGAGAATGGAGAATGTCCCTGAAATCTGAATATACCAGGTCTGCCCAGAAGGTCTCCAGCCATGTCATATGAAAAATAGAGACATTTACTGAACGCGATGCAAGAAACATTATATGTAGCACAATGATGCCTCAGTCCCCTTCAAAGCAGGCACCTAGGGACCTCACACAGTTCTCCCAATTGCCATCAGCTGCCCCGTTGTATTTTCCTGAATCTCAGGAGAAAGGTCTGAAATCTCTTCCCTTTCAAAGGTGATTTTAGTTTTGGGAAAAGCCAGAAGTCATGGGGCACCAAATCTGGGCTGTAGCAGAGCTGAGTCACTGGGTGATTTGATGTTTCTCCAAAAAACTCTGCACAAGACGTGATACATGAACGGATGTGTTGTCGTGATGAAGCTGCCAATCATCAGTTGCCCACAGCTGCAGACTTCTGAATCATCCAAATATTTTCCAGAGGAATGTTCAAGCTTAAGGCAAAATTTGATGCAGATTCTTTGCTCTGCTCACTATCATTTTGAATGTGATGGCCACACAGTACACGTGCTCACTCAATGGCATCTACCACCCTCCACTGACTAGTACAGTGAAGTCGTCATTGTTCATGCATGTGCATTCCAGTCCACTCTTCTTGGCTCCCAGGTTACATCAATGTCATGCAAACCATTCTTGTTATATTAACAATGGCCGGACTTTCTCTGGACAGACCTTGTATTCCCATCTGAACTTTCTCTGGCCCTGGAATCTGGATTCTTTTGCAGACCAAAGGCCTCAACTTTGACCCATAAAATATATCTACAATAATGAATGGCCTTCATTAAGTACCTCCTACATGCCAGGTACAATGCCAGGAATAACCTCAGCTGACCTTCACCATGCACCATGGACCTCTGCCCCTTCCTTCAGAGGAAGAGACTATGCCTGGAAAGATGAAGTGACTTGTCCAAAGTCCACAGAGAGTCACCTAAGTCACATCAGGGACAGTCAGCCCGGCAGGGCCTGCATGGTCATGTGGTCTAGATGCTGTCACTTTACAGACTGGTAGACTGGAGCCCGGGGAGGAGAAGGGCTTTGCTGGGACATAAGAGCTCGAGCTGCCTCTGGCAGAGAGCTGGGGCCTTGCTTTTTTGAGCCACCCCTGGCCTGGCCACAAAGTAATCTAGGCTGATTACAGCAGTGACTACCGGCCTGGGGAGGGGGCCGGATTGTGTGCGGCGGTTGTGGAGGGCTGTGAGGTGCAGGGGAGGTCAGGAGCCAGGCTGCAGCCCTCTCGGCTTTCCTGGGGGCAGACTGCAGCCAGGGGCTTGGCACCAGGCCCAAATCTTCTAATTCAGTCAGACAAGCTCTGAATAACCTGTACTTATGATTAAGTAGTGGCCTCTGGCCACTCAGAGACCCTTGGCCCTAGGAGAGTGTGGATAGGAGGTAAGGAGAAGGCAAGGAACAGGCAGAGGCTGAGAGACTGATATAAGAGAGAACAGGAATCGGGGGACAGGGGTGAGGAACACAGGCAGAAGAGAGAAGCGGACAGAGGGAGAGGGGAGAGGGAGATTAGGAAAAGAGAAACAGCATGGCCAGAGGGGAAGAGAGAGAAAGAAATGGAAAAAGAACAGACTGAGGGAGGCGGAGAGAAAGAGCCCCGAGTGTGGCAGGGACCAGGCCTGGCCAGGGAAGGGGCCCAAGCCTCTCTGTCCTCTGGCTTTAGTCAGGCCCTTGTGGAGGACTGAACCCAGGTTCAGCTCTGGGACTCCAGGCCAGGACTTCTGCTCCGTGCCCCTGACCCCCTCTCCTTCTCTGCTAACCTGATGCTAAGAGCACCGTGCCCCACCCCGTGTTCTCCAGGGCAGGGGGCATTGGTAGTTAGCCAGGGGGGCAGGTGAACAGCTGACTCTAGAGACCCCTCAGGATCCACCGCTGGAGCCCAGGGCACCTGAAGACCTGGCAGACCCATAGGCAGGCCTCAGCAGACACCTGCCTCACCTGCTGGCTTGCCCAGGAGGCCAGGAGAGGCCTGCCGAGACTGCCAGGCCCTTGGCAAATCCTGGCACCTGGCACAGGGTGACTGCTGCTATGAAACCCAAATCCAGAGTGGGGCAGACAATGGGACTCTCTGGCTCCTGGCACCAGCAGGCCTCCTTGTCCGTCCAGACACTTGGGGCCCATGGGATTCAGCTGAGGCTCCCTCCGCCCCAGGCCTCACTGATCAGGTGACTCATAGCTCCCAGCAGACACAAGGTCCACTTTCTCTGCTCTGCTGACTGTCCCCTGCCTGCACGCCCACCTTGGGCTGGCTCACTCCCACAGTGAAGACTGAGAACACGGAACCTAGAGTGCCCTCCACCAGAGTTCTGGTTCTGGCACTGCTAACTGGCTGTGTGATTGTGGGCAAGTCGCTATTCTTTGCTAAGTCTCAGGAAATGTCATCAAGGTGGATGGGGTACTTGCGAAGCACTGGCCCTTGAGGAAAACCAAATGGATGCAATACCTGGCCTAGCCAACTTCCCCCTGGTAAGGAGAGGTCCAAGCCCAAACCAGGTGGTACAAGTGTAGGAAGAAGACGTTCTTCTCCATGAGCAGGCTACAGGGGGTGGGGGGTGGCGGGAGGTCTCAGCTTCCTTCCCTATAAATGGAGTCAAGGCCAAGGTGCTCCTCAGACAAATGTAGTGAGGATGACATGAGAGCATGTGAAGAAAATGCCCAGCACATGACAGGGCTCAATACATTTTCTTTGCCTTGTTATTGCTGCCAGCTGTCACAGTGCCAACCCCCCATGGGCCCCAGGAATCTCAAGAATCTAGTCCTGCCCAGACTGGTATGATTCAGTGGGTTGGGCATTGTCCCATGGAACAAAAGGTCACTGGTTCGATTCCCAGCCAGGGCACATGCCAGGGTTGCAGACCAGGTCCCGGGTTAGGTGTGTGCAAGAGGCAACTGACTGATACTTCTCTTGCACACCGGTATTTCTCTTCTTCTCTTTCTCCCTCACTTCCCCCTTCTCTAAAATAAACAGACAAAATCTTAAAAGAAAAAGAATCTACTCCTGCAACCCAGAACCCGTTCCTGTTCTCCCTTCACTCACTCTGCTCCAGCCCTCAAGTTTCCTTGCTGTTCTGCAGATACTCCAGGTTCGCTCCTACCTCAGGGCCTTTGCACTTGCTGTGTCCCTGGTCTGGACTAATCCTTCCTCAAATATCTTCATGCCTCCCTCTCTTCAGGTCTCTGTTCAAATGTCACCTGCTCAGAGAGGCCTTAACTGTCTCTTCTAAAATGTTACCACCCCCAATATTTCATTTCCCTTTTTTCTGTCTATATATTTGTCCTACTGGGCGAGCGAGGTATTTCACCTCTGTATTGGGCTTCCCATTTTTTCTTGTCTTGTTCACCACTTTACCACCAGGGTCTAGAATAGGGGTTAGGACAAAGTTCCTTAATATGTAGTGAGCCTGGGTTGCTCATTTTATAGGTCAGGCCCAGAGAGGTCAAGATATTTCCTCAAGGCCACACAGGAAAGGGACAGAGGGAAGTCTATGAAATTTGGAAAAGCTAGTGCGGCCAGTTTCCCTCCCTCCACTCCATACACTTCAGCTCCATGTTGGGAGGTGTTATACCTTGACTGTAGGTGTGGGAGACCAGGAGGCTCTCTGCAGCCTCGGATCCCAGCACAGCTCTTCTTCAGAGAGTGAGGGGCCCTTGGGGAGACCAGAACTAGACAAAGACAACATTATGGTGAAATGGGGAGATGGAGTCCCTAGGGGAGGCTCGAAATGCTCAGGTATGATTTGGCTGAAAGCGGGCGGGGTTTACTTGAATGGACAGGGCTGGGCACCAAAGGAGGAGGCCTTTGAATCCTTACCCTCAATTCTCAGGTGCTGAGTCAGAGACCAGAGAAGTGAGGCAGCTCACTCCAAGATTCACAGGAAAGGTCAGACTATTGGGTTAGCAATAGGGAGCACTTACTGTATGCCAGGCACTGTGTCAAAGTGGATGGTCTCATTTCCTATTCCTAATGACACTAAAGAACAAGTAAGGTTTACCCTGTACCCATTTTAGAGGTGAGGAAACTGAGGCTTAAGAGAGGGAAAATGGCAGCCTGGCTGGTGTGGCTCAGTGGATTGAGCGCCGGCCTGGGAACTGAAAGGTTCCTGGTTGGATTCCCAGTCAGGGCACGTGGCGGGGTTGTGGGCTGGGTCTCCAATTGGGGGCGTGAAAGAGGCAACCAATCGATGTTTCCCCCCTTTCTCTCTCTCTCAAAAATAAAATAAAATAAAAAGAGAGAGGGAGAGGAAGAAGGAAAATGGCTTGGTCCAGGTCACACACCTAGGCAGGAGAGTCAGGATGCCAAGCCCAGGCTGTCCTAGGAAGTGCAGGAGTTAGTCCACAGGCTGAGTGTTTTGGGAAAAGGCTGAAGAAACCATGAGAGCATGGGCCAGGTGCCTAAGTCAGGTCAGAAAAAAGTAAGACCCAGAGCACGGAATTACAGGCCCAGAAAGGTCCCCAGTGATTGTCCATGAGAATGCAAATGGCCCCTGTTATGGCAGGAGTGGTATGTTTGCAAAGGCAGGCCAGTCAAGCCAGAGGTGGTACTGGAGCCATGCCCACCCCAGGCTAGGGCTGTGCAGAGTGGCAAACGTTAAGATGTCAGAATGTCCTGACAAGCAAAGCTTGGTGTGATGACCATGGTCAGCAGAGCAGCCTCTGACAACTTCCAGTCACCTGACTCTGGAGTGCTCAAAGGCACTTCCTTAAGGCCTGGGGACACTTGGCCTTCTTGGGGCCAGGCAATGAGATTCCTGGGGCTCAGGAGGAAGTCTGAGAAGGGTTTGGGGGTTGGTGTTTGCTGGAGCATAAATAGTAGGCACAGTGGTAAGAAGCCAGGGGTCCTGGCCTGAGGGAAGAATGGGAGCAAGGGTCTCCAAGTTGTGGTCTGGTCTGGGGAATATGGGGGCTGCACATCTAAGTCCCAGTGGAGGGGCTAATATAGCCACACGGGTAAGGGGCAAGGGATGGTTATGGCTTGTGTTGGGAGGAGTTTAAACTGGAGGATCTGCAATGCCCTCACCACTGGGAATTCCGGAATCCTAGGTGAGGGGCTGAGGGGTCCTCACAGCAGGGACTTGTTGTTGGGTGGGGTGCGGATGAGGAGAGTGATGGAGGGGAGGGATGGAATGGTGGTCTGTACTTTCAGCCACTGAAACCGTAACTAGGATGGGGGTTTGGGGGAAGGGCATCTGGGACTCTGGGTAGCTGGAGGCCCCTAAATTTGGGTGCTGCATTTAGGGGTTGAGGTCACTGTTTCCAGCCCAGGGCCCTAGGGTGTGTATTCGGAAACCGGGGACGGGGTGTGACTTTTAGGGGGCCTGGGCGGTGCACATAGCTGAGGAACTCCCTCCAGCTTGTACTGGGCTCTGGGGTTGGGGGAGTCCCTAAGTCCAACGGTACTCTTTGCAACCGCGGGTGCCCCGGGGCTAGGATCCAAATCTGGAGTGCGAGGGGAGCTCTTTTGTAGTCCCCGGAACTGATATTGCAGTTCCTTGATGCGGGGAGTCTTGGCATCCAGAAATCCTAGGGGCTAGATATCTGGCTCGGGCTTGGAGTGGTGCTGGGATGGGGTCCCCAAACTTGGGGGCACTATTTGCAAACAGAAGCCGAGGCTAGAGCTCTACATCGGGGCCTGGGGCTGGGGTTCCGATCTGGGAACCTGGGGTCGCTGTCCGCAGCCCAGTCTGGTGACTACAGGCCCGGGGGAAGGTGGGGGTGGCGAAGGTCCTACCTGGCGAGTAAAGCGCGGCCAGCTCGCGGGCCCCGGCGTGCTGCGCGCCCCAGCGCCGGCAATACGTTGCTTCGTCCTCGTCCAGCTCCGGCTGCTGGCCCGGCCAATCCTCGGTGCCCGCCATGGCCACTGGCCCGGCCGGGCGGGTGCGCTCTGCTAGCAGCGGCGGCAGCGGCTGCAGGGCCGCGGGACCGCGGCGCTATCACGCCGCCCAATGACCGCCCAGCGCCGGGGGTGGTGGCGGCGCCGCCGGGGGCCTCGCCCGGTCGCGCGTCACAGCCAATCAGAGCCCGCGCCGGGGCAGCGCCGACCAGTCAGCGGCCGTCGACCCGCAGCCAACCCGGGCGCGCCGGGGGTAGGGCCGCAGCTGGGCGCAGCTGGGCGCGGAAGCGAGGTTGTCGGTGCGTCCCTGCTCCGCCCTGGCCAGTGTGCAGTGCCCGCCTCACCGAAAGACGGGCCGCGGCGTCTCCCACGTCAGTCTCGTTTCACCGTCCTGTACAATGGGCCGAGGTCTTATGCTGCCGGAGCCAGAAACGGGCATTTCTTAAGCACGCACCGTCAAGCGCCTACTGTGTGCAAGGAACGCGAGGGCGCTGGGCCAGGGAGCCAGCGCTTGGTGGGTACTCGGACAGTGCTCCCTAGTTGGGACCTGTTTCCACTGGGCCAGCTTACACAGCCCTCCCGCGTGCAGAGGTGCCGAGGCCCGTACGCACACCTGCCGTGTGCCAGCTCATGCAGTGACCCCCAGGAGCTCCTATTCTCCCGAGGGGGAGGATACTAAACGGATGACAGTGACCTTGGGAGTCACTATACGATTTGGTGAGCACCAAATATCTGTCAGCCCCCGACCCAGGAACTAGCCGGCAGCACGTCATTTACACTTACTAACCAGTGATATTGTCTCTTCAGAGGCCCTTTCTGACCACCTTGCTCCAAGGTGCCCCTCCTCCAGTCACTGTGACATCACCCTGTTTTGCCTTCACAATGCTGGCCCTGGGCAGTGAACTTGAAGTTCACATTTCCCCCACCAGAAACCTAGCTCCTGGGGGCCAGAACTTGCTTTGTTCACATCTGGATTCCACAGTCTTGATGAGAGTAGGGCGCATGGTAGGTTCAGTAAATGGTTGCTGAAAGAATTACGGCTCAGACATGCACTTTCACTCCCTTTGCAGGTGAATGACAGGGACAGGGTCTAGCTGACTTCAAAGTACACAATTGTTCACAGAAGTCCACACAGTGTCACCAAATGGGAGCCACCCTTAGAGGACAAGGAAGGACCCAAGAGGTGCCTGAGGGAAGCAGGGAAGGGAGGTAAGACCTGCCCCCCCCCCACTGTGTCTTTTGGAGTCTCTATTCTGCCCTGGTTCCCTGAAGGTTTAAGCCCTGGATTCCTCAGTGGCTAGTCACCCCAGTCACCTCAGGTCTGTCTCCTTTGTGTCCCTGCTGTGAGCAGCCCCAGTCCCCAGCCAGGCCCATGGTCCCTCCCTGCGTCCTTCTCCACTTGACTTCAAGGAAAGAAAAATTCATTTTGATGTCAGGGACAGGTTGCAGCCCAAGTCCTGGTGAATTCTGGAGAAACTGGCTCTCCTTGCTGCCATTTGTTGACACATTTGGATTTTCAACCCGGGAGCTTAAGGGCCGCTAGGCTTGGTGGGGGCTGGATCTCAGACTTCAGGGAAACCCCCTCTGAAGTTCTCTGCATGCATCCCAGCCTCCAAGCAGTTTGGGATGGCTGGTTACCCCCGGTGTCTGGTCTCTGGAGCCCTCCCGGTGGCCAGCACCCTGGGCAATGGACTACCAGACTGCCTGAGATCGTTCATTCACTCACTCAACACTCGTTTATTAAGCACCAACCTGGCCACGCACTGTTCTTGGGAAAGAGTAGGGGACATGACAGTCTCCTGGGAGGTGGGGGTCAGGGCCAGGGATGGCCTTGTCGAGAAAGTGACATTTGAACCAAGACCTAAAGGAGGTGAGGGATCCAGTTGTGCAAATATCTTGGGACAAATTATTCCAAGCAAAGGCAACAGCAAGAACAATGCCTCTGAGGCAGGAATATGCTTGGCCAGCAAGGAGGCCAGCCAGGTAGGAGTTAGGTAAGAGGCGGAGGGTGGGAGGGGATAAAGTCCTATAGGGAGGAAGAGGGAGGGCAGATGGGGCAGGACCTTGGAAGGGACTAGAGAGCCTTTTTACTTAAAGGGATCTGGGCAGTTTCTTTCCTCTGGGGTTTTGAATACAGGAATTACATTTATATTTGGAAATGTAATTTTATTTTTAATATATAGGATATTCACATGCTTTGAAAAATCGAAATTATGTATATATTATTTCATATAGTATAATGGAATCTTTACCTATTGCCTGGTTTCTTTTTTTTTCTGGCCTGGCTTCTTTTACTTTACGTGATGTCTTCAGGCTACATCCATGTTGTGGAATTTCTTTCCTCTTTATGGTTGAATAACATTCCGTCATATGGAGAGACCACAGTTTGTTTACACATTCAGTTGATGGACATTTGAGTTGCGTCCACATTTCAGCTGTTATAAGTACTGCAGCTATGAATATTCATGTACAAATTTACATACTCTTGGGTATATACTCAGGAGTAGATTTGCTGGATCATGTGGTAACTGCGTTTAGTTTTTGGAGGAACTGCCAAACTGTTTCCGTGGCAGCTGCACCACTCACATCCCCACCAGCAATTCACGAGGGGTCCGGTTGCTCCACCCCCATCCTCGCCCATGTCTGTCCACATTGCACGTGTTTGGTTACACCGCCCCAACGGTGTAAACCCTCACTGTGGTTTTGAGTTTACGTTTTCCTAATGATTAATGAGGTTGAGCATCTTTTCATGGGCTAATTGGCCATGAGTACCTATGTTTGGAGAAATCCTTTGGCCATTTAAAAATTGAGTTATTTGTGTTTGTCTTTCTTGTTGAATTGTAAGAGTTCTTTATATATTCTGGACACTAGGCCATTATCAGTGTATGATCTACAAATATTTCCTCTCATTCTGTTGGGTGTCTTTTCACTTTCTTTTTCTTTTTCTTTTCACTTTCACTTTCTTGACTGTGGCCTTTGATAACTCAAAAACATTTACTTTTGATGAAGTCCAATTTGTTGGGGACCGCCCCGCCTGGTTTCAGGAATTGTGAACCGTCTCCCATGTCTAAGGCTGTGAGCGACCTCAGAAATGTGAGCCACCGAGGAGACAAGGCTTGTCTCTGGCAGCAGATGCGGCCCCCCGCTTCATCTTTCTGCCCCTAAAGTATGGTCGGGTGGTCAGAGACAGGTGACACCCCTCAGAGGAGGGGCAGCCCAGGCCAGACACGATCACTTGGGAAGCCATCAGGGAAGGACTCGGGGGAGCTGCAACAAAGAGGGAGTGATGGACCCTCCCCATCCCACCCCTAGCCTGAGTCCCCATGTCCTCTGGGAGCAGCCCTTCCTGGCTCTAATCCACTTAAGCCTAAAAACCTATGATGGGGAAGACGGTGCAAGCCTTGTGCTGGGAATGGCGGGCTCCCTGAGTAATTAGGCCTGAGAAGGAATATGTGAACCCCTGTGATACCTGCTTTGTTTAAGAATGCTTTTAGTTAGATGATAAGGGCCCGAGCAGAAGAAGAGTTTTTATGTTCCCAAAGTTCTGTAGCCCTTTAGCTGACAGGCCCTGATTTAGAAGGAGCCCTAATGGTTCTTTGTGTACTGTCTACTGTTTACTGCTTAACAATGATTAATAAGCTGTGCCTGAACTCCGGTGCAAAAATCCCAATAAAAGCTTGACTAGGCGAGGGTCAGGGCGTTCTCTCTCCCTTTGAGAGAGTTGCCCGGCCACTCCAAGCCGCTGTCCCCTTGAGAGGGTGGCGAGGCCATTCTGAGGCTCTCCCCCCTTGAGGGAGTAGCCTTGCCGGCCCTTTTCCTCCACGGGACTCAGTAGTCCATGTGAATTTGTCTCGCATCTCATCCATGACGCCGCGGGCACTGCTGGTCAGTGCACGTGCCACCAATTTATTATTTTTTTCTTTGTGCTTTTCATGTCATAGTTCCTCATTCTTGTTTACAACTTCTTTAGATGCTACTGTGTAACTGGACTGTAATTGATTTAACTGGTTGCCTATTAACAGACACTTGGGTTGCTTCCTATCTTTGGGGGTTATAAACTTTTACATACCGTCATTTGACATGTGACAGGAGATCGGTGGGACGCACCCTTGGAGTGGGATTGCTGTGACAAATATTAAATGCCTTTGTTATTTGGGTGGATATAGGCAAACCTGTGAGTAGGTAGATGCTGCCATCGGAATCATAGGCTCATTTCTACTCCCACCAGCTGCAAGGAGGGGTGGCTGTTTCCCACAGCCCTGCCCGCCAAGTGAGGCTGCTGGAGGAAGATGAAGAGTTCAGTCCTTCAGCCGTACTAAGTGCATTTCAAGTGCTCATTAATCACAGGTGTCTGGTGGGTGATGAGTTGGACGACACAGCTAGAGAACATTCCCACCATTGCAGAAAGTCCCGTGGGGCACTTGTGGTAAAGGATTGGACAGTGACCCTGACTTTGTATTTGAACAGGGTTCCTCTGGCCATGTGTGTGGAGTGGACTTGGGGACCACGCTGAGGCGGGAGGCCGGGGAGGAGACAGGGATGGAGGGTCAGACCAGGGAGACTGTGGCGATGGGGGAAGTGGTGGGTTCTGGACGTGCTTTGAAGGTGGAGCAGCCAGGATTTGCTGGTGGATGAGATGTGGGCGTGGGGGCAAGTGAAGAGGTGGGCAGTGGGAGGGGCCCAGCCTTTGACGCGCGGAGGCTCACAGCTGTGCTTCTGAGCCTGTGTGGGTCCGTTTTCCTTCTGCTTCACAGCTTTACTGCAAGGTTCACAGGGAGCACAGCGAGAGACAGAGTACCTGGCAGGCAGGAGACACTGCAGAGGTGTCTGTTACCTCCCCGGCTGTTAAGCTGGACTGGGAAGGTGGTGGGAGGAGATCCACTCCTTCACCTGAAGTTCAGGGCCCTGCAGATTGGGCCCTGCTCACTCTCATTTCCTCTCCTGGTATCTCCTCCTGTCGGGAGTGCAGGGCCTTTGCACGCACTGTACCTGCTCCCTGGTTCATGCTCTGCCCAGGGAGCCATGCAGCTTGCCTGTTCTCCTCCTTCAGTTTCTCTTCTCCAGCTCCTTGGAGCTCGGAGACTCAGGCTGCAAAGCTGCCCGAGATGGACACCCCCAGG